CATGGCACTCATGGGACTCTGAGGACTAGAGATATGATTCTGCTTTTGGGCATGCTGGGCTTACAGCAGTGCAGCTCCATGTGTCAATTAGGGTGAGCCCAGGCCCACATTGATGGAATGGTAGAACGAACCCTCCCCTTCCAAGCCTGTGCTGTCCATACCCTCAGCTCTTCCATCTGCAGCTGCTTCAGGCTATCCAGCATCTCCTGGGCCTCCTGGGCTTGCTGTTCAGCCTTCAAGGCCCTCTGCTCTTGGTTCTTCTCTATCTGCTCAACCAGCTGGCGCCTCCCCCTGGGGGTGAGACACAAGAAGTTATGCACATGGCTCCCTGCTGGTTCTAGTCACCACTGCCAGCAGGACCCCTGCAAGGCCAGCTGGACTGAAGGGCCTGTTCCCAAGCTACCCTCTAATGGCCAAATAGGTGAAGCTGACCCTGGAGGTGCCTGTTTCTGCCTCCATGTGAAGTGCTGCATGAGGCCACACAGCCTGTGCACAGCACGGTGTAGGAAACCCCTGCCTGGCAGCAGTGGGGCAGGGCCTTCCCACTCACCGGATCAGCTCCTGCTTCCTCTTCTGCTCCAGCTCCTCCTGCACCTGATTGGCTTTCTGACACTCCACTTCCATCATCTGGGCCAGGCGCTTCTCCTCATCCTCCAGTTCTTTCCCAATCAGCTGTTTCTCCAAGATCTGGGCATCACGAATGGCGTGGCACTTTGTATTCAGGATCAGCTGCAGGGGCAGAGAGCCAGCCTAGTCTGTGATGCACTCAGTGACAGAAGAGACCCAGACTTGGAGCAAGGAGGGGGTAGGGAGGAAGAGACACAGGGCCATTAGGACTCCAGTGGTGAGCAGAGGTCAGACTTATTCCTGGCTCTGCCACTGACTTTGTATGTGCCCTTGGGGAAGTCACTTACCCTTTTTCTTTGTGTCTGCACAACTCCACTGAGAACAAAAGGGAGTGTAGGGCTCAGGGGTGGGAATTAGGTTAAGAAGTCTGGGCCTGGAGCTGGGCAGTCCTGATCCAGCTGGGACTGGAGTGACTGTAGCCCTCACTGGTGAGTGACCCCCTCCGCAATGAGCTGGGAGGGGATCTACAAAGCCCAGTTCCTGGCAGGTGTGTCATGATTGTACCATCACTACAGGGCCCTTTGTGGAGAGTGAAAGCCCTGGGCTAAGGAGACTCCTCCCCCAGCTCCCCTCTGTACCAGAATCCATCCAAGGCAGCGTTGCATGTGCCCATGGTCCATGCCCTGCTTGCTCTGGTTAAGCCCATCCCCAAACCCCACGGAAGCAGGTGCACCAGTGACCTGCCTTTCACTTGGAGCCTTGGGACAAAGGGGCAGCAGAGGGAGATGGGCAGGTGAGAGAGCAGGCTGGACAGCAGAGTGCCTGTGACCCACCTTGCTGAGCTCCTTGATCTCATCCTCCTGCTCCAAGCGCATCCTATTGGCTCGCTGCAGCAGGTACTGAGATCGCTCTTGGGCCTCCTTCTCCACGTCACCCAGCTTTTCCTTCTGCTTCTGAATCAACTTCTGCTTCATGGCCTTCTTGCGCTCAGTTACTGCAGCCTGGAGGAGAGAAGCAGGCTGCAAGAAGACTGTGGAACTCAGGGAGCCTGGCTGGATTAGCATTACAGCCCAAGCTTCAAGGAGCCCACATCGCCTGGACCAGCAGCATCCTGTCACACTGGCCTGGGGCTGACTGGATTTTGGGGAATGGGCCTGGCCAGAGGCTGCTGCAGGAGGCAGCCCAGCTCCTGAGTGAGACACTTTAATCCTGCTGCACCTGAGACAGCAGGAACTGGAGCCAGGCTGAGGCTTGGGGAGGTGGGGAGGGTCTCAAGAGGGCCACCGCCATCACAGCTGTTCCATGCTCTGCTTTCCAGCTCAGATGTCCTCTGGTAGGCACTGTCTGCATAGCCCACGCTAAGGACATCTCCCTGGGACACGTGTGGCGCTGCGGTATGCCTTCCATGGGGGCTCCCAGTTCCTCTACCCACCCACTGGTCCTGCACCCACCCACTGGTCCTGTACCCACCAGTTCAGCCCTGGCAAAGGGCCACCACTTCAAACCACACCTTGGACCCTGCCTAGAAACCAGCTAGCACAGGGAAAGCAAAAGGAGGCTCCTACTGTTATGGTGTCCTTCTCTGCTTTGAGGGCTGCCACTTTGGCCTCACGCTCCTCCTTGGTCAGGACCCGGGATGATTCCTTAATGCGCTGGAATTCCTCTCGGCTCAGGATGAGACACTGCCCTGACGGTCTCTCTGCTGGCACACTGGGGAACAGGAAGACAGGCATGGAGAGAGTCTGAGTCAATGGCATGGTGTCTCCCCTCCCTGAACCAGGTGTCAGCCTGGAAACTGCCCCTCTTCCTGCCTGGAGCATGGATCCTGCTGGGCAACCTAAGACAGGGGTTATGGGAGCCCCAGCAAGACTGTGAGGAGTCAGCAGGGATGAACACAGGAAGTGCCCAGCCTCAGTAATGTGGACAGTGGTAAATGGTGCTTCACAGAAAGTTCCTCAGGCCTGTGAGAGGACAAAAAGAAACCCCAGGGAGACGAGCACCAGGCTGCCATGCACTAAGCTAAGCCAGGCCCGACTTGCGGATACCTGCCTCGTGGCTCAGCTTTCCTTCTCAGAGCAGCTCAAGGTCACAGCAAGAGCAGGAGCCTGCAGAGAGGTCCCTAAATATCAAGGACATTACTGGGTCACAACACAAAAACCATGGAATGATCCAGCCCTTGGAAAAATGTGGTCAAATGCTCCGGAGACAAAAGCAACATTCAGAGTTTTCTTCCAAAGGTAGCTCTCCCGTCACCCTGGGGTCACCACACCCCATGGTTTCAGCACAACATGATGATCTTCACCGCCTGCTGTCACTGATGCTGCGCACTGTCCAACAGCTGAGCCCTGTCCCAGAGGTGGAAGCTCCATCAAAACCCGGCTAGACAAAGCTTTGGCTGGGATGATCTAGTGGGGGCTGGTCCTGCTTTGAGCAGAGGTGACCTCCTGAGGTCCCTAACAACCTTAACTTTCTAACCAGACCCTCCTATGGACCGCTTGTTTCCTTGTACCCCTTGTTGGCCTGTAGGCACCTGTTGTCTCTCGTCGTCTCCCTAGCCCAGTGCCTTCGTGTCCTGCGCTGGTGTGAGGCTGACACTACGGGGCCCTGCCCTGGACGCGGATGCCTAAGGACTGTGGTAATACAAATGATGACAACTGCATTGTGGTTTGTTAAGACTGCAAAGTGTACGGTGTGGTTTTCCATGGGAAAACCAGGCTGCTGTCCTAACCAAGAAGCCCAGCGTATGCTGCACTACAGGCAAAACCAGGACCCCGTCGCTCCCTCCACGGACCCTAACGATACTCGTGTCTGCGCAGGAGGCAGCGCGGCTCTGCAGGAGCCCAGGACAAGGGGCCAGGGACCAGTCAGTCGTGGCTCCCACTCTCCACTGACGGGCTGGGTCCCGTGGGGACAGTCACCGAGGCTCCCCGCGCCCCCATTTCCCCAGCCGAACACGGGGATAACACTCTGGGCCCGCTCCCCTCAGAGGTCACGAGGCACAAATGACTCGGACACCTGGGGACGCGCGTGTGGTTTAGAAAGACAGCGCCGAGCCCTTCTCAGAGAGTCCGCATGATGGGCTGAGTAGGTTATTACTAATTTTATGTGCATGTGTCACCTTTCAACCACGCGTTCGCCCGGCGTTTCATAGATACTCGCCGAACAACCACTGCAGCCGCAGCGTCGCTGGATGGGATCCCAGGACGCTTTACAGAAGGGTTCGTAGTAACAGCGCCGGCATTAGCTCTCCCGCCGGGGCTGCCTCAGCATTAGGGAGCCCGGCCGGATCTGCAGGAGGGCCGGGCACCCGCTCAGCACCTCCCGACAGCACCTCCCCGCGGCCCAGGGCGGGAACGGACCAACCGCAGCCCCTGGGACCCACAACCGCTCGTGGACGCGCCGAGCTCCTTTCACCTCCCATGAAACGAAGCCACGCGTGGGCGTGGGGGAGACGGGGCAGGGACATCACAGCGGCGGCAGCTCGAGGCGGGAAGTGAAGCACCCGAGGGGAACCTGGCGGGGCGGCCTTACATGAGGTCGCGGACGAGGTCCTTGCCGATTAGGCGGATGGTCGGGACCCACAACCGCTCGTGGACGCGCCGAGCTCCTTTCACCTCCCATGAAACGAAGCCACGCGTGGGCGTGGGGGAGACGGGGCAGGGACATCACAGCGGCGGCAGCTCGAGGCGGGAAGTGAAGCACCCGAGGGGAACCTGGCGGGGCGGCCTTACATGAGGTCGCGGACGAGGTCCTTGCCGATTAGGCGGATGGTCTCGGGCTTGCGGCGGCGGCCGAGGGGCCGCGGCGGCTCCTGCACCTCCCGGGGCGTCGCCA